GAGGAAACGTGCTCAGTGACTTGTATGGGACTAGTCATTTGAGTAAAATGATGTTCCTGTTTAAATATTTGCAGGATTGGGCCATAATGTGTCTGTTATAATTCATTTAGTATATTACTATTTCCTGTATATGTTCATGGTTTTTATTATATATAAATACTTTAGTCTCAAGGAGAGACACTAAAAACTAAAGTCACTTTGAGATGATTCTAAGTTTCTTTAAGGGTGGATAATTATATATATTATGCTATTATGGGGGGAGGGGGAGAATGGGTTTTCAAAGTATAGATTAAATTGGATTTGCTATGCTGTACTAAACTTCCACTGGTATTCATGAGACTTCAGGGGATAATACTTTTCTCTGAAACATTTATCTGGCATGGTGCATGAACTAATCATTTGTCAATTATCATATATATGTTTTTAAAAACATGTTGTGTGCCATAAAGAGTGTAATGTATTTCTACCAGATTCAGATGAGGAGATCTTTGTGAGTAAAAAATCAAAAAGCAAGAACGTGCTTCAGGACAGTGAGAGTGAGGGCGAAGAGGAAGGCATTTTTCCTGAGAAGACTGACATTGTGGATGGAGATGTGGAAAGCGGGGAGGAAAACGAGAATAATTTTGCCCAGAAGAACAAAAAATCTCATCGGATTCGCCAAGCTCTGCGGGACAGTGATGAGAGTGACACAGGTGATCCATTGCATCCTGGAAACCTTGAAATAGATGTGAAGTCCGAATTGACTAAGGATGAGTTTGGCTCACAAGTGAGGAAACCTGTGGAGATGTCCGTGAAATCTCGGAAAAAATACAAAAAACATAAAAGTGATTTTGAGAAAGAAACAGACAAAGTGATAGGCAAATCAAGAAGGAAGACGGAAAAAGAGAGAAAAATAGAGGCTGTTAGACAGCTGAAGAAGGAAAAGAAATACAAACAGGAGGTATAAAAATTTACTTGCAAACATTTCTGGTGTTTTCAGTTGTTAAATTTCAGCATTTGGGGTGGTCTGAAGCCTCCAGCAAAACACGTGAGTCCACATCACAACAGTAAGTTAGACATCCACATGGGGCCCCCAAGTTTTGGACAGGGTTTTTCTCTGAGCCATTGGTGGGTTTTGTGTAATTCTTCCTTGTGTATGCTGATTGCAGCAGTTGAGAACCTGTCTCCATAAATTAGCATATCTAATTTTGGAATGCTATAAAGTCAACATGACTGGCCTACAGAATTTGAAAGATTTTTGTTTTGGGGATGATGGGATGGTTGTTTTTTGAATTTTGCTAATGACCCTAAAATCATGAAGGTATTTTGAAATAATCTTGTAAATTAATATAATTCTTTGTACTTTCCTTCTTATGCATACCAGAAGGATGGCGGTGAAAGATACCATTTTAATGATAGTGGGTGTCTTCTTGCTGACAAAGAACTCTTTGAGAATGATTTAGAGGAGGAAAATGATCCCCTTCTTGAAGATGAAGAGTCACTAGAATCAATAAGAGCTGCTGTGAAAGACAAAATGAAAAAACATAAGGTAACTTACTTTAGTTTAAGGTTGTAATATTCTTTGTAGAAGGTATTGTACCTGAGTATGTAACACACACTTTTGGTGACACTGGGGTGCTTCCACTTTTGGTAAAAGTGGAAGAAAATAGTCCCCACTATCACATTGCTTGCTAGAGGCGAAGGGATATTAGCGCCTTCTCTGAAGAGCATTGTCATAGAAAATTCCAAAAATAGTATTGCAACAGAGGCTGTAGAGGCACTTAAAGAAGTTTCAGAAACCAGGACAATAGTTGGCATTGGTTTATGAAAATGTTTGCTGCTCCTATTTCAAGATTGATGGCACAGAAAATAATTGTACAAAGTTATTTTGTTGCAAGCTTCTTTGCCCTTGACCTGCTCCCATTTGTTTTGAAATTTAATAGACTTCTTTTTACCAATTATAGAGTAAAGATCTGTTTTCTGAGAGTGAAGACTACAAATGTGTATTTGATGATGATAGTGAGGAACCTACATTAAAAGGACCTAAAAGAAAGGTGGAATATTTCATTATAAATATCTGTTCCTTTTTAACTCCTCAGTAGTTCTTCATAATTTTATTTGAAGTCTTATCTATATTGCTCCTCAAAGTATCTTTATTCTTCTGTTTGATTTGGGTCTTCTTTTTTTTTTTAAACTCTGATCCAACTGTTAGTACTTTCTTCTGTTGTTGTTTTGAAAGAAGAAAACTATGTAGTAATATAGATACACTTCTGCACATCAGTCCTGTGGCTTCAAGGGTCTTTCTTTTCTCTGTTTAAGGAACGGAAGGCAGCAAGATTAAGTAAAGAAGCCATTAAACGACTGCATAGTGAGACCCAGCGACTTGTTAGAGGTAAAACCTAAACTCTTTGGTGTAAGGGTGAACATAAGAACAGCCATACTGGGTCAGATCAAAGGTCCGTCTAGCCCAGTATCTTGTCTCCGACCATGGCCTGTGCCAGGTGCTCCAGAGGGAATGAACAGAACAGGTAATCATCAAGTGATCCATGCCCTGTCGCCCATTCCCAGCTTCTGGCAAACAGAGGCTAGGGATACCATCCCTGCCCATCCTGGCTAATAGCCATTGATGGACCTATCCTACATGAACTTTATCTAGTTCTTTTTTGAATCCTGTTATAGTCTTGGCCTTCACAACATTCGCTGTAAAGAAGCTCCACAGGTTGACTGTGCTTTGTATGGGGGGAAAAAATACTTCCTTTTGTTTGATTTAAACCTGCTGCCTATTAATTTCATTTGGTGATCCCTAGCTCTTGTGTTATGAGAAGGAGTAAATACACTTCCTTATTTACTTTCTCCCCATCAGTCATGATTTTATAGAGCTCTATCAAATCCCCCTTTAGTTGTCTCTTTTTCAAGCTGAAAAGTCCCAGTCTTGTTAATTACTCCTCACATGGAAGCTGTTCCATATCCCCAATCATTTTTGTTGCCCTTTTCTGAACCTTTTCCAATTCCAATATATTTTTTTGAGATGGGGTGACCACATCTGCATGCAGTATTCAAGATGCGGCCGTACCATGGATTTATATAGAGGCAATATGATATTTTCTGTCTTATTATCCATCCTTTTCTTAATGATTCCCAACATTCTGTTTTGCTTTTTGACTGCCACTGCACATTGAGTGGATGTTTTCAGAGAACTATCCACAATGACTCCAAGATCTTTCTTGAGTGGTAACTGCTAATTTAGACCCCATCATTTTGTATGTATAGTTGCATTTATCAACATTGAATTTCATCTGCCATTTTGTTGCCCACTCACCCAGTTTTGTGAGATCCTTTTTGTAGCTCTTCGCAGCCGGCTTGGGAGTTAACTATCTGGGTAGTTTTGTATCATCTACAAATTTTGCCACCTCACTGTTTACCCCTTTTTCCAGATTATTTATGACTAATTGAATAAGACTGGTCCCAGTACAGACCCCTGGGGGACACCACTATTTACCTCTCTCCATTCTGAGAACTGACCATTTATTCCTACCCTTTGTTTCCTATCTTTTAACCAGTTACCAATCCATGAGAAGACCTTCCCTCTTATCCCATGACAGCTTACTTTGCCTAAGAGCTTTTGGTGAGGGACCTTGTCAAAGGGTTTCAGAAAATCTAAGTGCCCTATATCCACTGGATCCCCCTTGTCCACATGCTTGTTGACCCCCTCAAAGAATTTTAGTAGATTGGTGAGGCATGATTTCCATTTACAAAAACTATGTTGACTCTTCCCCAACAAATTATGTTCCTCTGTGTCTGACAATTTTGTTCTTTGCTATAGTTTCAACCAGTTTGCCTGGTACTGAAGTTAGACTTACCGGCCTGTAATTGCCGAGATCACCTATGGAGCCCTTTTTAAAAATTGACGTCACATTAGCTATCCTCCAGGCATTTGGTACAGAAGCTGATTTAAATGATAGGTTACAGATGACAGTTAGTAGTTCTGCAATTTCACATTTGAGTTCCTTCAGACCTCTGGGTGAATACCATCTGGTCCTGGTGACTTATTACTGTTTGGTTTATCAATTTGCTCCAAAACCTCCTCTAATGACACCTCAACCTGGGACAATTCCTCAGATTTGTCACCTAAAAGAATGGCTCAGGTTTGGGAATTTCCCTCACATCCTCAGCCTTGAAGACCAATGCAAAGAATTCATTTAGTTTCTCCACAATGGCCTTATTGCCCTTGAGTGCTCCTTTAGCATCTTGATCGTCCAGTGGCCCCACTGGTTGGTTAGCAGGCTTCCTGCTTCTGATGTACTTAAAAAAAAAAAATTGCTATAACTTTTTGAGTCTTTGGCTAACTGTTCTTCAAATTCTTTTTTTGGCCTTCCTAATTATATTTTTACACTTCATTTGCCAGAGTTTATGTTCCTTTCTATTTTCCTCACTAGGATTTAATTTCCACTTTTTAAAGGATGCCTTTTGTCTCTCACTTCTTCTTTTCCTTTGTTTAGCCATGGTGGCACTCTTTTGGTTTTCTTACTATGTTTTTTAATTTGGGGTATACATTTAAGTTGAGCCTCTATTATGGTGTCTTTAAAAAGTTTCCACGCAGCTTTTAATTTCTGTTTTAACTAACTTTATTTTTCATTTTTGTGTAGTCCCCTTTCTGAAATTAAATGCTACAGTGTTGGGCTGCTGTGGTGTTTTCCCAACTACAGGGATGTTTACATTTAATTACATTACGGTCACTATTACCAAGTGGTCTGGCTATATTCACCTCTTGGACCAGATCCTGTGCTGCACTCAGGACTAAATCAAGAATTACCTCTCCTCTTGTGGGTGTGTGTGAGAGCTATTAGGATATCTTCAGGAGAGCAGCAGAAACTCCTGACAGGCCAGATTCTGCTGTTGCTTAACATGAACTATTCAGGATCTAAAGTGGATAGGCTGCAAAACAGTTTTGTTGAAATCTTGTTCAAGGATGGTCTCTCGGTGCAAGCAAAATTCCTGATTGGAGCTTAAAACTTGCCTTTACGCAGCTGTGGGAAGTCACTTGGAGTCTTTTAAAAGTTATAGCTGGACTACACATATAACTGACTTGGTGTGACTTGGGTATTTAGTTGCAACAAATTTTAGAATTGCTCTTATAATTCTGTTCTTGTTGGTACAATCTGCTTTCTTATGAGTCCCTGTGCGTGCTGCAGTCCTCACTCTTCATGACAATAGATTGGTGATTGGGAAGAGGTCCTACAGATACAACCTTTATTCAGGGTTAAACTCTGCTATTCATCTCTGCTCTGATACTTGAGCTGGAAAATACTTGTCCCAAGAGCAATTGGATTTAAAAAAGTACATGTTGTTTTGAGGTACAATTTAAATGATTTTTTTTTTCCCTTTTGGCAGAATCCTCTCTGTCTCTCCCGTATCATATGCCTGAGACCAAAACCATCCATGAGTTCTTCAAGCGTAGATCTCGACCAACATTGCAGGGAAATGCTATGGCATTGCTGAAGTAAGGACCAAGCTTATCTCATAGTCTCTCTTTTCTAAATCAGGGCTCTCAATCTTCCTGAAGCAGATGTGGTCCATGTTATGAAAAAGCTATCTAATATACAGCCTCCCTTCTTATTTGCAACCACATAGGCCTCCCATCTTTCCTTGGTAATCCCATACTGCTTCTATGGCAACTAAAGCGATTGCTTCAGTGAGAAAGTAATACTAGAGAAGTATTTATTATGTTTTTAACTAAGTTTTTAATGCAGTTTAACAGCTGGAAAAAAGAAGTATCACCATGTGACTAGCCAACTCTCCACAGACCAGCAGCAAGGGTGTTGATTGATCATCAATGGGACACAGACCACAGTCTGAGAACCAGTGTTCTAAGTGGCAAATCTGCTAGTTTAGTAACTAGTATGTAATAGCAGGGCACATCTGTTTTCCCCTGAATAGATTTATTTACCAGCTAGTCTCTGACAGGAGTGAAATGAAAATCCTTATTTATATTGTACTTGCTATTCAGAAGTAAAATTTGAAAGAAATATGCTCATCTAAATTCTTGTGACAGTGTCCCATTCTCCCCACCAAATTCAAACCACTGCTGTGATTTTTTTTCTCCATGCTCAATTTGATACCAAATCCTGTTTTAGAAGGTGTGTTGTACACTGAAATAAAGAGTATTCAGGATGCAGTTAGTGAATTTTTTCCCTTTAATTTAAAAAGAAATGAAATCCAGAGAATCCTAAAATTAATTTGCATTAATGGTTGAGATTTTAAATGCCCAAATGTCAGGCTATTTACTGTTATGCTTCCTAGAATCACCCTAACTTGATATTATTGCATTTGCATAGAACTAGTAATTTGTGTTACTGAATAGAGTATTCTACATAGGCATAAAAATTATAATGTACAGTAATAGATCATTGGTATTGTCATGTGATATGAGAACCAACTCAGTTCTAGGCTTCTGAGCATCTAAGATCTGAATTACAATATTGCATTACTACAGTTGACTTCAAGCGAATATGTTAAGTAAGCAGGGCTGATTGAGCACTCCAGATTAACCCTGGTTGCTCCCCTCTCTCCCAAACCTCCTCCCACCATGAGTTTAGAGAAAGTTTGGATTAGGATCCAAACTTTTTGTGCTTGGGTCATCTTTTTTGTGTTAAATTTTGTAGACAAATTGTACTCTACTGTGGCTACTAAATCTCTCGGGAATTAACTTAATCCAAGTTGTGATAATGTAGTTTACTTATCAGTTGACTCTGCACCCTTTAGAGTGAACCTATTGTAACTCTTTGTAGTAAAAAATGTGTCAGATTAATTTTTTGTCCACTTTTAAAACTGAGTTTGAAAATGAAGATATGTTTAAAATAAGCAGCGTTTATGAACGATGATTTTCTCCCCCCTCCCTCCAAAACGGATTTTTCAAGGACAATAAATAGAACATGGTTTTGTTGCCTTGGTTTGATTTAGGCTTTTCTCACATTTAACAGTAGTCATTTTATGGACTGATGTACTGTGTTTTGGCTGGTGACTTTATTTTTCTGTTCTTGGCAGAACTAAATATCAGCCCTGTCTAAATGAAGAAAGTGCAGCCACTAAGAACTCCGCTGTAAATTGCAGCAATAATCAGACTGAAGAGGCTGATCAGCCGGCAGCCAGGGAACTGGAAATGGGGTTTAACAAGGATCCTGGTGTTACCACTGTGGACAAACCGTCCCGTGATGTAGTAGAGAACTTGATAGAAAACTGTGCTGAGAAGCACAGAGAAGATGGTGCTTCCGATGTTTGCGAGAGACCTACAACTGCTGGTAATTCAGAAGAGCAGCAGCAGTCTAGCCTACTCCGTAACGAATGCAGTGAACAAATGGAGAGTGAAATTCCCTTGGCATCTGAAGAATGTGCCTATGTACAAAGAGAGGACCAGTCACAGAAAATAGGTGTAGAACATGAAGAATCTGTTCAACAGGTGGTACCAGTGGTGGAGATTCAGCCTGAAAAAGTAAGGAAGTCTAAACTGGATAAACTTCGGGAGCTGGGAGTAGATCTATCCATCAAGCCAAGACTTTACTCTGATAGTGATTCCTTTATTATCCTTGATGAACCTGAATCAAACAAAGGTACAATATTACCTGTTACAATCTGCTAGATTTGACAAGCTAGGTAGGGTTAAGCCAGAACTTAGATGGGAGAACTCTGAGGAACAACTAGAAGTTGGTGAATCAGAAAGGGGCAGGCCCAACTTTCTTTTGAGGAGAACTAACGTCACAGCATAGTGCTGGCTATGCTGGTGGCTGTATTGTCTTTCAGATGAGATTTAAAAACAGAAATCCTGATCCTTTTGTGATTGTTAAAATAAGATGGCATTTGCTTTTTGTACTAAGCAGGAAGGCCAACATTTTTCAACTTGTGGTGCCTAAAATTAGGCCTCTAAGGTTTCTTATTCAGATACCTGAATAAAAAGATTGACTTTCAGAGATGAGCATGAGTACCTTCTGATTATATCATTAGAAGTCATGGCTGCACAGCAAATGAAAATCAGGTCACTCTTATTTAGCACTCTAAGGATATCGGTGTCTAGCTTTAGGCACCCATGTTTGAAAATTTCAGCTGTTTCAGTGGTGGATAGGTGATCCCATATCAGTTTGTTTGCATTACACTTTGAGGTTCTATAATATCATTCTAGTAAGTTTCCATTTATACCTACATACATTTATTAATAGCATTCAGTCTGTTCTTTAAATTGTACAGAAACATGGCCTGTGTCATGAAATGATGACTCCTCCACTATCATCCTGGATTTAAATACTGTATATATGTCGGTCTGATCCTATGGGGGGGGGGGGAGGGAGAGTCTGTTAATGAAATGGAATGTTGATACCCAAATCTCCAGTGAATAATTAGTTGTGGGGTGTTTAAGGTTTTCAACTGGCATTTGATCATATGCCCAAATATTAAAGTAAGCCATCCTAAGTGCATGGTTGAGCAAAGTTATCCAGAGATGGGCCACTGTTACTAATGTTATTTTCAAATCAAATAATGTTGACCCCTCTTGCATTTCAGCATCCAATGTGTTTTAAAACTTTTTGTTTTGTTTATAAAAAACTTACTTTAGAAATGCATGTTACAACTGTATGTATAAAAAGTGACTGAAATTATTATTTTTGCTGCCTCAAATTAACTTGATCTTAGCAGGAATTTTTCTTCTGACCTTAAATATAATATATATATTTTTTTAAGAACTGGAAGCTCTGAAAGCGCGTTTCTTGAAGCATACACTTCACACCGCCAAGTTAAAAACTGAACGGACTGTGAACTTGAGCATTATTCGTAAAGAGACCACTGCTGAGGGAAAAGAGGAGCTAAAAGTAGCCATGGTGCCGGTGACTTTGGCTGCAGAAAATCTAGATGATACAGTCCCTGCAAAGCCAGGTATATTTGGGGTGAGGGTCATAGTTGTTGAGTCAGAAAAGAAGTATATTTTCTTTGTTAAGACACTTCTAGAATCTCTAATACCTACATCTTTACCGGAAGCCAAGGTCTCAACTGGAGTTTACTTTCGCCAAAATACAAGTATAAGATCATTCAGTACGTCTGGTCTGGATCATCTTTTAAGTGTGTCTGCCTTGTTGATTATAAGCTTCCGTGGGCAAGGATTGTCTTAGGATGTTTCATGCAAAGTAGTGAACACGTTGACAATTTAAAACTACATGCTTTCTTCAGTTTCATAATGAGCTGCAATCAATAGATAAGTGTTTTTCTTCACAATTATTCAGATTCTCTTACTGGTTGATCATGGTCAATAGAACATAAGGGAGTTTTTAATCTGATTCTCTTTGCAATTGCAACCATATTTTCCCCCCCCCCCCCCAAAAATCAAATCTAAAATAAGTGAGAATCCCTGCTTCCAGAATTAACAGGCATTAACCGTTCCAGTTAGCTATATTTTTCTAACCAGGTTGGTATGTTAGATGCTTGAAAAGGTAACTCTTGAACTGTGTTAGCTATTAAAGAGGATGTTGCTCTGTGCCATAATTTAGCCATTCGCCCTCTGGAATCTCTCTCCTCCTGCCCCACGATTTCATATAAAACATATTTATCCTTAATATCTACAGGACATCAATCATCTACATAAAATCTGTAGATTAACCCTTGTGTGGTATTCATAATTAATATGAATCATCCCTGTTGCAATTCTTAATACAGGCTGTTTGTGTATCAGATCATTTTATTTGCATGTATTAAAAATGATAAATATATGGGAAACTTAATTTGAAACACCTATAATATTTAAATGTTAGAGGTAGGTAATTTTGATTTGTTCTACGACATGCATGCTTTCTAGCTGTTGGTGAAATATTCAATTTGCCCAGGGCAACTGGAAACCACTGCGCCAGTCAAAAGCAAGGGAAAGAAGAACCCTTTGCTAGCTCATGGGGCTGTACCAGTGGCATTTGTTGATAATAAGGAACCTTCCTGATAATTCATAAAGTTGTGTTCCCTCTCTAAATGGCGTTTATTTAGGCTAAGAGATTTAGCTCTTCTAATTAACAGATCAAGTCAGAAAATTCTTTTTTTTTTTAATAAAAGCACGAATGCCTTTAATCTTCTTTCTGTGTGTGTAGTTACATTAAATTTTGTGCTTGAGGCAACAAATTTTAAGGCTTCCTTGTAGTGCATCTAATGTATTAATTTATTCATTTCTGTCCAGGTGAAAAGCTACAAGTGCTGAAGGCTAAACTACAGGAGGCCATGAAACTCCGCAGGATTGAGGAACGCCAGAAGCGGCAAGCACTGCTTAAACTGGATAATGAGGACATGTTTGAGGAGGAGGAAGAAGAGGAGGAAGAAATGACAGACGAGTCTGAGGAAGAGGAATGTAACCCGGAGGTCTATTCACAGCATTTTTACATAACTTTGTCAATGTCTAATGTCTGCTGACTCCTCATAATTAACAGGGAAATGAGATAAATCAGAGTTTTGTGCAATATTAATATGCACAATTTGCCAAATAGAGATCGTTCTTTGACACTTAAAAATACTGTACAGTAACTGTGTGTGTGTGAGAGAGAGAGACGCATGCGCATTGCCCTTTAAGTACGCTGATCCCACTCTAATACACTGCGTTTTTAAATAGATCAGCAAGTTGAGACAGCAGCTGCTGCCAGCAAGCTCCCTCCCACCTGAGCCCTGTCGTGTGTCCTCCCCTCCCCCCCAGCTCTGTGGAGATAGGGTACAGGAGCGGGGGGGAGGGGGATACCCTGACATTATCCCCCCTCTTTCTCCCTCCCTGCCCACATAGCAAGGAGGAGGCTCCCAGGAGCAGCTCCAAGGCAGAGGGCAGGAGTAGCACATGGCAGTGGGGGAGGGACACCTGAACTGACCAGCACTTGATAGCCTGCTGGGTGGCTTGCGCACAGGGAACTTAAGGGAGCTGATAGGGGGTCTGCCGGCCAACCCTGGTTCCAAGCCCCCACCAGCTAGCTCCAACGGGCTGCTCTTCCTGCAAGCAGTGGACAAAGCAGGTGGCTGCTAAACAACGTTATAAGGGAGCATTGCACAACTTTAAATGAGCATGTTCTCTAATAGATCAGCGAGTAATGTTAACTGGGACGACGTTAAGTGAGGAGTTACTGTAATTAGAATGTTCAAGATTCCATGTGCTCACAGAACAGTATCCAGCAGATCTTTTTTAATACCAGTCTCTTCCTGACTGTTCAGTGACACTAGCACAGAGGTCCCCAGACTGTGCGCGGAGGACCGTTCAGGGGGTGGGGAGGGAGTGCCACGCAGCTCTGCTCCTGGCCCCAGCTGCCAGCCCTGCGCCCCTGGCCGGGGCTCTGTTCCCACCCCAGCCTCGGTTCCCCTTACCCCCATATGTCCCCCACTCCTGGTCTTGGCTGGGGAGGGTGGAGTAGGGGGCACGGACAGAGTTAAGCTGCGATGTGACCCTGAAAAGGAGACCACAGCACTGGCATCTGGCTATTAAGTGATCTTTATCAGTCCATATCCTAGTTCAGGTTGACCTAAAACACTTGAAATATATGAATAGTCAGAATCTTTTAAAATTATTACAGCATTTTAGTGGCTAGCTGACCGTCTTAGCAACTTAAAACTTTTTTCTGCTTATAGTAAATGGTTGCTTTGCCATACGAGTTCCAATAACTCCCCTCTCAGTTTAGGTATGCTACCTCCAGGATTGACCACTCTCTGATCCTTCACACAGAGGTGAAGCCCTTCCCACTGTCTCACCTAGCCAAGTAAACACAATGCCTATACTTCTTTTTCTTTTAAATTGTTCCATTTTGAGTGGTGCCAGTATTTTCAGCTCCTGGCTGCAAGAAGTTTGATTACAACAGGATGTATGAAGACTTAATTGAGATCCCTTGGCTGATCTCAGAGATGCAGTAGTGTCAGTCTTGGAGGCTAGACATTCTTTTCCAAACAGTTATTAAGGGGTCAAAATGACTTGGTTATTCTAAGCCCCTTCATTGAAGTAGAGAAGTCCAGGAGTTGGAAACATCCTTCAATTCTCCCCTCAATAATTCCATGTTAGAACTGGGCATATAAAGGTATGCAGTTTAAGTAGATGGTCAAAATAATAATTCCTGCTGTCTCATTACATGGATATGTGTTGGGTTTTTTAGACTGTAGAGTTCCTTCTTGGTGAGGCCGAAGAAGATGATGAGGAGCTGGAAGAGAAGGGTATTGAAGATGGCGATAAAGAAACTGACAAAGAATCAGTTGATGAGGAAAGGGTGGACAAGTCTGTGCATTGTGACTCTGTTCCCAAACCTTCCTCAACAGAGTCTACATTGATGCTGTTCAAGGACAACTCCTCCAAAATGGGGTAAATAAACCGGTCTTTAGAAACGGTGAACCCAGCCTGCCCCAACTATGTTTTACTCTGATTAACATACGCATGAGATATTTGATTTGAGAACTAGTGGATTCATGTGTGTGCTTAAATATAAGGATGCCTGCTGTCTCACTATTTGTGGTAATATTTAGGAGTGTTGTTGCGTCCTTCATGATTGCAACAGTCACATATGAAAATAATAGTTTGCATGTGAAAGTGACGCTATGATAGCAGTGATACTTTTGAGTTAATTTCCCAGACCTGAAGAAGAGCTCTGTGTAAGCTTGAAAGCTTCTTTCTCACCAACAGAAGTTGGTCCAATGAACGATATTACCTTGCTTAGCTTGTCTCAATGAATATCCTTGTCATTCGGGGAAGAATCAACTTCCTAATGGCAGTGTATTCAGTGCATTCCACATACATTATCTTGTCTATAAAAGACCAGGCCTGATAGTTAATGCACACAAAACAAAACTTGGTCAAAATACTTTTTTTGTTTTGTTAATAAATTGCAGATATTCTCTTCCTGATGAAAAAGCTGAGTTGGAGGAAGCTCCAGGCAAAAGACCTACCAAGTTAGGTAAAGTGAAACTGCTGTTAAAGCAAGCATTTTGCTTGGGGATTTTCAGTTCTGGCACACAAGTGATTTGCACATTTCTGTATCTAGTTACCATTGCTGTGTCTCTATCACATGCTTGCACTGGGGCTGTGAAATGCTGCTTTGCTACTTTTACTGGGTTGGATTTGAATTGTAAAATGTCATTTGATTAGGCATTTTAAGGGAACTGCTGGTTCCAATTCACTGAACTATTGAGGCCTGTGACTTTCTTTTGCCGATGCAGCCAATGTAACTCTTTGCGTTCCTTGGTTTGTCTGCACTCATAGTACAGTGGCTTCCTAAAACTCCTCTTAAATAGCTGCTTTCTTCCTTAGAAGACGACGATTCGTTTTCACTGCCAACTTCCGCAAAAGAGGGCAGCCACAACAGCAGCTTTGAGTTGATTGGCTCCATGATTCCATCATACCAGCCTTGTAACAAACAGATGGCACGTGGGACCAATTTTCTATCTGCAGTAGGAGGTTTCAGGTCTTCCTCTCCAGCCTTGTTCAAAGCAAGCTTTATCAGCTCTGCTTCCAAGGTAAGACTCCTGCCCCATCTTTTCTCCCTTCATTGCACTCTCCTTACAACTTCAGATGTTCTGTGACTTAAGGCCAAAGCCAAGCTTCCTTTTATAGGTCAAGAATGTGAGCGTAGCAGATAGCCAGTGTCCCCTCCGTGGTTAATTGGGATTTAATCAATAAAGAATCTCTGTCTTGACCGATAGATAAATATTTAAAAAATTCATATCCGAACAAATCAGGGTGATGCATTAAATACACAAATCCAATACTAAAAGTTCAAAAAGTATTGGAGGAAACCCACTGCTGTTTTTGGTAACTATGAACTATACAAAAATATTCCCATGGCCTATACAACATCTCTCACTAGTGCATTATTAACTAGGTAGCAGTACAATCATGAATACTTGTTAACCTTCTTCTTCTGTATTTTCATCTGTTTAAAATGACACAACCATTAAGCCTTTTTGCTTCCAACTTGTAGGACTGTGAAAAGATTAAGTGTTTATATTCTAGTTCATTATCAGATCTTGTGAATTTTATCTTAATTTTTTTCCCTGACTAGAGTTCAGGAAAGATGTCTGAGCCCTCTCTTCCCATAGAGGATTCCCAGGATCTGTACAATGCCTCTCCTGAGCCCAAGAGTTTATTTCCGGGAGCTGGAGAGTCTCAGTTTCAGTTTTCTCTGGAAGATGATACTCAGAGCCAACTTCTTGATGCTGATGGGTAGGTTACTGATCTACATCCTTCAAGGGTGGCGTTCTATGTGTGTTAACAGAAGTAGCACAGATTTTTGTGGGGTTCTTACTCCCTTAGGCTACATGAAAAGACATGCTATTTAAAGGGCTCTGTTGATCTTTTCTGTTATGCCATGCTTTACACAGTGTGATTGGCCCAATGATAATCTCTTTATTAATGTTGGAAACTGTAGTATATTGAGTCCCAAAGGTGCCAATGCATGTGTCTATCCCTCACAAATTTTTAGTTGGTATTTAATTTTTTTTTTAAATCCCTCTTTAGAAAACCCTCCACAGATCTGAAGTAGGTCTAGATTTTAATTAGTTTTATCTTCCAGGTTTCAGTACAGTATTCATTTGCTGAAACAGTTAAGATCAGAAAACCATGTAATAACTAAAACCTTCTTAATCAGCTGATCTGTTAACTGCTGTTAACTTTACTGACTAAAAAGACTTGAATGCATTTTTTCTTGCTAGCCAATGCAGAGCCATTGCAGCTTTGGCAGAGCAAGATGGATTTTATTCTGCATCATACATCCCCAGAACAGCCAAATTGCATTGGCAGAACCATTACTACTGGCAGTGTGAGTTGGAAAACACAACTGGATCCTCTGATTCCAGATTGAGTTTGCAAGACTGGCCGTTAGAGAAGCGATCTACCTACTTAAATTGAGCAAAGTTGATCTAGAATCAGTGAGAGACAAACATGGAACTCCCACAATGTCATGCTTAGTTATACTATAACTGAGTGTTGAGACTCTTTTGGGAGTTCTGCTTTGTCTCTGTAGACAAGCCCTCCGCATAGGTGGAAGGGCAAAATTTTCCAATATGTGGTGGGTATTAAACTGTAGTTGCCAACTTCTAAATAAAATTTACTTTCAGGTTCTTGAATGTTGGGCACCACAGGAATAAGTACCAGTCCTCAAAGCATCAGCTGTCTCTGGCTAGTATGGATGAGAATGCAATGGATGCCAACATGGACGAGTTGTTGGACTTGTGTTCTGGGCAGTTCAGCAGTCAGGCTGAGCACACTCCAAATGCTAATACTGGCAAAAAACAAAACATGGAAGAACTGCTCAATCTCTGTTCAGGGAAATTCATCTCTCAGAGTAAGTCCCAAGTTCTGTTCCCAGTGACTTTGATTTGTGACTTTTTGGGGGCAAATCTCAGTTTTAAAAAGAAGTCTTGTACGAACTAATCCTTCAGGGCTGCTCCTGCCTAAAGAATTTTAATAGTGTACTTGGAACCCTAAGAGCTTAGTGCGCTTTAACTGTTTGGAATCTTTATAGACATGCGTTGACTATCATTTCCAAGACATTCAGTGATGTTCCAAAGGCCAAAAGGAAGCTGTGTAATGATTTCTCTTTTGGTTTCTTTCTGTAGCAACATCTCCAATCTGGGCATCTTCAGCATCCTCTAAGCCAGAAAAAGAGAGTGACACAGATGATCCAATGGCAGAAGCACTAGCACTTTGTTCAGGCTCCTTCCCAACTGACAGGTCAGCATTACAGGCGTTCTAGTTCTGCATGGTGATCATGATCTGACTTGGCTTCTGATGTGTCTCACTCTGGTTCAACAGGAGTCCAAAATGCTATTGCCACAAATGTGGTTTGCCTTGGAGGTGAAGGAGTTGAGTATCTCAATGCTCAACAGTTCTTCCTTTGACCGGTGATACGTTAGAGTTGAGAGACTCCTAAGGCACTGCAGTTCCCAATGTCCATTGTGAGGAAAGAGTCTCTACTGCTATTGATGGTGGAGGCGGAAAGTGGGTAGAGAATTTTGATCAAATCAAAGCACAGGATTGAGAACTTCTTGGCTCCTGTTCCCAGTTCTGCAGTTGAATGCAGGAACTGTGCGCAAGTCATTAACTTCTGCACCTTCGTTTTCCTCCTCTTTAAAACTGGACTGATTCATGTGCACTTAACAAGGATGTTATGAGACTTAATTGTTTAAAGAGTACCAACCTACTCCCAAGAGGCATTCCGTTTTACTGAAGGGGAAACTAACACAAAGATAATGGCTTGCCAATATTACTCCCGCTAATGCTAATTGGGAATTAAGCACCTAAAGCTCCATGCTACAGTGTTGGGAGACTGCAATGTTTCAGATGCTATCATGGATAATTGCTTGTCACTAGCTCATCCAGCAGTTAAAACCCTGCGTCGATCCATTTCATATCCATTGCTGGAGATCAATTGTAAGTGTGTGATGTGGTTCGGTTTTTATAGGGAAGGGGAAGATGATGAGCAGGAGGAAGAATTTGGCAATTTTCAGCTCGTAACAGATGATCATGCCTTTGATAGCGAGGAGGTGAGTATTGACGGAATGAAGTGATAACTTCAGAGCTCTGCCCATAAGCATTCCATTTATTTTCTCAGTGGTCTGTCCACTTGTGCAAAAATCTAAACTTCCAGCATAGATTACTGAAATAATCTGAAAATATCTTGGTTTTGTGAGCACTTAAACTAAAACCTCCTGGATTTTTCTTGGTTTGTTTTTGTTTTTAGCCATTGAAAAACAGAGGCAGTTGCTGTTCTAGGGAGTAAACACTCTACTGAATATCTTAGGAATTTCTGAAAACTGTTTCTTGTTGACTGATAGGATGAAAAAAGTGAAAGCGCTGAGAGAAGCGAAGATGAAGCAGAAGTTAGTGATGATGAAGAGGAGCTGTTGAGACAAAGACAGGGCTTAAAGAAAAAATTGTGAGTAAATCTTTCTCCCTATCTGACCTGCCAGAAAAACAGAACCACGTCACTAGAAACTTAGTTAATAGTTAAGAGTCAGAGTTGAAAGAGCTATTAAGGAGCCTTAAAAATAAAGAGCAAGAGACCAGGATAAAAGTAACAGTGACTTTTTTTGTTTTTGTTGAAATAGTATGTCTCTTAATATTGCTCGTGACTTAAGATCTCTCGGTGGGTGCTGTAGTACACATTTTGCAAGTGAAATTACCTTGGTTTTTTTCTTAGAAGGCAGTTGTCATCTTGTTAGATGGGCAACTGGTAAGAAAGCTCAGAACTAAAATAATAATGGGTGCTGTGGGACCGAGGTGAAGTAAACTGGCAGACCTTCCACACGTTCATGTGCTCTTAAACTTAAATAACTTAATCAAATTGAAAACTAAAACCGAATAATAGCATCTCTAATTTAGCATACACAGTAGTTCCAGAAAGACTTCGCTCTTGCTTTCAAAGATTCACGTGATGCAGCTAAACGTTCTAACGTTAACTCCTTTGGAAATTCTCTTATAGAAAACTGCAGGATTTCTTGGAAGATGAGGCAGAGCTGTCGGGGAGTGAAGTAGGAAGTGAGGATGAATATGATGGTGAAGAGCTGGATGAATATGAAGAAGAGATTCTTGATGAAGAACTCCCTACCGAAGTGGAACTACAGGATCAAATTAACAAAATACACATGTCAGTAGCAATCCTAGTATACTTATACAGTACATGAAATGCACATCTAAAAGTTATAATCGGTTATAATCTGGAATTGCAAAACTAACGTAGGCTTCTCTCCCTTGGACAATAACATTAGGAAGGCGATGCTTGATGATGATAAGCGTCAGTTACGCTTGTACCAAGAAAGATATCTTGCTGATGGAGACCTGCACAGTGATGGTCCTGGGCGAATGAGAAAATTCAAATGGAAAAACATAGGTATAATGTTGGCATATTAATCTTCTATTGTAGAGCAAAAAATACAGTGTGGGAGGTCGGGGGAAGAAAACTCTTCAGTAAGTACTTTAATATGAGGCTTACGGTTGTAAGATCTACTGAGCCCTAGTTTATTGTTTTAATACACACATGTTTCTTGTAACTGGGTGTGGGGGACTTGCTTTGACTTCTCTTGCCTGGTTTCAGACCACAGTAGAACCTTGGCTTGAAAAGTCTGAAGAAGAAACCATTTTAAGTCATTTTTGGATCACATGCTAGTTAAAACAGAACGCTCCCAGGGAATCAATAACTTCAAGCTAATATAAAGAAATAACTTTTAAAAAAAAAAGCTATTAAAACCACTTAAGACTGGGAGAATCTTTTAAGTTCCATCCATCTAACTAAAATAGTATATAGATGCTATATATTGCTCTTTCTGCAGGCTAAGTCCAGGAAAAAGTAAACAGAAAGAAAGCTGATGGGCATGGCTTTGAATCTTTTAGTTAAGGTGTATATCATGATCCCCATTATAGGTTGTCTGCAGGACTTGAACCTGGAATTTTCAGCACAGCCTCTACCACTTGAGGAGATATAGGAGCATCTCCAATCACTTTTTGTCAGCAGAAAGCTCTTACTCTATATGTGTAGCCACTAGAGGGGGATACAACATAGCCAGTTTGTTACACACAAGTACTTAATATTTTAGCAAGGCTTCATATGTTGCTGTTCTGAACTCCCTTAGGACAATACTATTGTGACAAGATACAGTCTATAGTTTCCCTCAATAGCTTTCTTTTAAGGAGTCACTTACTTATTTTTTTTTTTTTTCTTTTCAAGTGTTGTAGTGAGGATTTCCCTGCCCCTTGCTAGATTTTGTAACTCTTCTACTCTGTTCTGAAACGTTCCTGTTATCTCTGCATTTTGGCACAGACATATTAAACAGACTCTTACTATTGATTGCCATTGCCCGTTTGCTTGGGAGCAGGCGGAATGTTTAGTTGGGCAAAAGGAAAAATCCTACAGACATTCTGATTGTATATTTCTAGTGGAAATGGGCAATACTCAAATTATTGTTAATGGCTTGGTTTTAGGGTTTATTCTTGGGTATAGCATAGCATACTTAATTTGCAGGGGCAAGATCCCTTGTATAACAACTATGCCTCTGATACAAGACTTGTTTCTTCACAAGTCTGTCTCCAGCCTGTACCATTGAGTGCTGTGTATATAAAATGTGCACAGGGAATGTTTCTGCTAATTTTGATGTCAATAAGGAATAAGCAGCAGACTGTGGCAATTGTAAATATATGGTAATCTTAATTTAGTAGTCAAGAGTAAATTAATATTATCTTTGTGTTTTAAACAAGAATGTGGTTTACATATACATAAACAACACAAATTTTGTCTGCAGAACGCTCAAGTACCCTGCTTTAGTTCTTTACATTTGTTTAAAGCTGGTGCTAATCTTGTTGAATGATGCTTTCTAAAACTCCTCACAGGAAACATTTCCACTAGATATTTCATCACTGTTTGCTAAATACTTTGGTTCCAGCTGTGTCATCCATCTAAATGAGAGGAAGCATTCTGCATGTAATTCACTTCAGAGATTCATTGCCAGGAGTTGTTTAGGAGAAGAGAATTCTGGGCAGAAAGGATTTTGTTACAGCTTAACTAGTTCTAATTGTGTGTGTGTGTGTGTGTGTGCATGCACATGTGTGGGGTTTTTTTTTTTTTTTTT